ACAGCTAAACGCAATGTTTAGGTGCGATGGACGCTGAATTCGGCGGGTTTAGTCGCTATTTTATGCGACGATTGTCTCAACTATTAGATGTATTTAGAGGTACTGTAGGCCCACTAAAAAATCCACAGGCATCATTCCGATGGAGATAATGATAATCTAAATGTAACTTAAACCACAAATGATCGATCTTTCACAGCTAAATACAATGTTCCAGTGCGATAGCCAACAAATTTAGCAGGTAAAGCCTAGTCATAAAGATAAAACTTCGAAAAATATGAGCAACTTTGTCAGATTAAGAACTTGAGAGCTCTATATGGCACTTTAATCGTCTGGTATTCAATTCTCAAGAGGGGCTCCTAATTCAAGTTGGATTCATACGAATCCTATGCTCTGATCCCTTTCTAGCTATACACGTGACCTCTAAATTCCCAACTGACAAGCTTTCGTTCCCAATACTTCGTCTTGACAAGGGTTCAAGGAACTTTCGAGCCACATGATCCTAGGCAGATAAGAGTTAAATTGGTCTGCGAGTCCTAGTCTCACTCCTATACCTAGTGGGACAATGGTCGTAGAAAACATCGACCAGACCTGCTGTTGAAACTCTGCAAAGACACCGATACACAAGCTGTATTCTATATAGCGATTACTTTCATGCTTGTGATAAAATTCTCTCTATATTTTCACAGGTAAAAAGTGACATAACCGAGCCCGTGGACGTCGATTTGCAGCTAGAGGCCTTAGACAAAAACACATCTTACAGCGAGGGTATTGGAATAGTTTGTCACAGATGTGGCTTTGGCCGCGTACTCTAATGCCATGCGGACTCCCAAAGTCGTTGTTGCATGCCTTTTACAGGCGAATTGACTCCTTCTCTAGTGGGTCTGACCCATGGATAAAACTTGCGATCTTATCGTTCGTGGTTTCAGTCTCAAGTAGTGAGAGGCTGTCATAAACTCATGGCTCCGAGGTTCATCGTCACAGAAACAATTATGCCTCTGTCAAGAGCAGTGTTAGCAAGTGGTTTCTCTCCAGGGTTTCTTGACTTCTTTCAACAAAAACGTTTAATCATCGTGAAGGCGATTTGGTAGAATGAGGCAAGCTCACCGATAGTGATTAAAGCTGACTCTAAGATCCTCAAGAATGCGTTTGTTTATCCTTCGTGTTAAGCAATCGGATCATAGGGTTCCAAGCGTAGAAGTAGAACGTTGCCAAATACCAAATTATGAAGTTGCTAAAATAACAGACTAGAATGATTTCAAACTGTCAAACACTACATAAGAGAAGACCATCCCGAAAACAATACGCCGTACTGATGAGAATTTGGTTGGAGGCGATATTTCAAGATACAAATTCTAGAAGTATGAGCTATACAGACGTAATGAAGGTTGGCATGGACGCCTGTTCAGCGTCTAATTCATCGAACATACGCTCATTATGGTATTTGTCTGGGTCTTTGCGCAAGACTCGTCGTGTCAGATATTTCATGGTAGAAGCACCAAAAGTCGCACCGTTCCAGTTCATGAGGACTTCTCTTGATGATAAAGGTCCGACAACTTCCAGACTGCCATGTGGACCGACTGAGAAACTCCCCTTTTCCAGTTTTCGAACATTCCACCACAAGGATCTTTTTTCTCCAACGGTGACCTTCAATCGCATGCCCTGAGGTAGTGTCTTGCGGTCGTTAATGACTAGTGCAGTCTCAAGAATAGGAGGATAGACATCAATAGGCAGTGCACTATCTGAACTCGAAGAATTTTGGCACAGCCTCCTAAATTCGCTGATCAAGCATCGCTCTTCCAAGACCACGAAAGCGCAGTTGTCTCGACAGTCCTGTACCAAGCCGCACCATCTGTAGTATCTCCGCGGAAACTCTACAATATTTTCGACTTGGTCTATCACCCACAAAGCCGATAGAGGAGCATCATCCTCCAGAGTTGTCCCGGTGAGCGAGAGTAGATCAAGACAGCGTGCGACTAAGTCTCCTACACCCTTCCTTGTAGTGGGTTGTTTGTAAAGAGCCACAAGACTCTCGGGGTCATCTTTGAGAGCTCCGTAGATCTCATCTTTGGTAGACCCATCTTCAACAGGATCAATTGCTTGAACTAGACTGGAAATGGTTTTCGTGCCGAAAAGATCAATGATCCGGACTCGTCGACTGTGATAAGTACAGTACGACATTTCAATCCCGCAGTACCTTGACAGCCCATGCACATTCCTTGCAGTTCTTTCCAGCGTCCATCTCTTGATGAAAGCTTCCTTCCATGATCTTCCAGGAATTACCTTGGTAGTCATGGCATATGAGACTCCAGGGCCAAGAGCGCCACCACCAATATTGATCCCAACAGCTTCGGAATCCACGCGTCGCCGGGTTCTTGTGGCACCAAAGGGACAAATAAATCCGTCTTTTCGAAGGCTGTTATTCGCTCTTGCTGAGGTACAATGGCAAGCTTTTGTATTATCTCGCAACGAAAATCTGTTGGACGCACCAACGAGCAAGTTGGCAGCATGACTGAATGGTTTGCATATAGAGGGCCTATTGCAAGCCATACTCCTCAGCTGTCTGTCAGATATCCAATGGCTCAGATCTTCATCCTCTCTGACTATAGGATCCACTGAAGGATACAAAGTAATGGTATCAGCCTGATCCGCCATAATAATGGAGCCGTTCTCGAGGTCATAGCGTATTGTACTCTTCTCTCGGTCAGGCCCCACAATCTTCCACATGGGGCCCCAGATGTCCGCAAAACTCTCGGGTCGAGTCCGAAGGTACAATTTAGTTGAGTTTGGCTGGCAAGCTTCGAAGTCATGGAAAACCCACGCTTCACACCCACCCAGAAACCCGTCGAGACACAGAAATGTCCTACGATGGACTACTATTCCTCTGCGAGCACATTCATCTGGAGCAGGAGACAATATTCCAATTCGGTCACTAGGATTGAGCTTCTTCCTACAACACTGGTCAAATTGACTAACGTGAGCGCCGGCATAGGATACTATGATAAGATCTAAAGTCCGCAGTAGTGTATACGCGTGATCTCCAGGAAACAGACTCTCATCCAGACTAAAGGCGCCAGCAAAAAAGTCGCCGCATAGTAGATCTAAGGATGACAGACATTTATGTATATTGTCAAGGTGACTTTCTTGGACTTCTTTCTCTCGATAGATGCCACAAGATCGATCAATTGCGCGAAGAAGACTTAGCAAAGTGACAAGATCTATAGGTCTAAGGATGGCGACATTAGGGCGTGAACGATCTAGCTGCAGGAAATTTAACTGTTGACGGCAGAAGTTCGAGCGGCGTAGCTGGCTTACGTTGTCAGATATACATGTCGTGATTTCTGAACAACGCTCAAGGAAGGTCTTCATAGATGAAAACGATGAGGGATCTAGAGTTAAGGTCTGGGGATCTCCCTTCGCAAGTTGATCCTTGATGCTTCTGTGGTCTTCTGGTGATGTAGGCGCCATCTGGTCTGCGTGGAATTGCAGAGGATTCCCTTTGAAGAGACATAAGCTACCGGAGAGCTTTGCTGCGGCCGAGTTGCGAGAAGCATAATCGTGGATATTCTGGAGTCTTTCGCGGTGCGCTTGGGGATTCATGAGATCCTCGTCAGGGTAATGGTCTAAAGGCAAGAATTCAATTTCATCAAGGCTTTTGCCAAGGACTTGCAATCCAAGAGAATCTAGTTCCTTGCCCTTCGGAACAATGGATGGTGTCAAGTTGCTTGGCGCAGAAATTGGTTGCTCTTCAAAAACAGCCCCTTTCTTGTTACTCTCTTCCCCTTCTGAATCTATTTTCAGCTCCGAAAGAGTCACGTCCACATCCTCGCCATCATCTGTACTGTAACCACTTTCGTAAACGCAGTAATTCGAAAGTGCGGTAGACTTTTTGCTCGTAGGAGACGATGGAATGACTAGCCGAAGATTTCTTTGCGTGAAGTCAGGAGTAGCGGAAGCCGTCTCTTGGTGTGGTGTCGACTCTTCATCATTGGGCCATGGGTCACCAACCGTGGAATACGGATCTGAGTACCGAGGCGTCAATAAGGTCTTTATACATGATCGCAGCCTGCTTAGTTGAACTCACGAGATAACGAGGATCTGGCATTTTCCTCAGCCTGATCTGGTATAGATTCGTCTTTGCATGGTCTCTCTGATATTGAGACTAGAAGCGGCGACGGTTCCTCTATACCCGTCGTATCATATGCACCTCGCCCTATCGCAATGCCGTTTGTTCAAATTTACTGAAAGGAGTCTGGTCTTCGTAGCTCTTCTCTAGAACCAGACTATATAGATATGGCTGCAATACCACAAAAAGTCGACGATATCTCTAGAATAACCTCTTGAACAAGATTCGAAGAAAATTGAGACAAAGATATTCACAAAATATTATGACATATTAAGGAGGACATCGCTTAGGTCTAATCAGTCAAAACATAATATAATGATTTAGAAAAGTTCAATGGATGAGCGGTAAGCGAGAAAGAAATTGAAAAATTGTGATTGTGACTGAGTGCCGAGTTTGTTGACAGCCACTGTGCACGATCAACCAATAACAAGCATCTAGTTCACCGCTATTTCCACGCTGGATATACTTACAGCAAGCATAAGCAGACAGCTTTCCTCGTTCCCTTTAGAGATCGACAAAGAATAAACCATGTTTCTAACATTGTGCACTCCTACAGTAGCAGGCAGAGGAGTTCCTATATCAAAGCAGCAGGTTGAGCGAGCCATTCCTGAAGCGAGCACGCTAAACTCAACGAGGCAGCGCATCAGAACATAGGTACCTAGGTAGATTACGAAACTAATAACAATCAATGTATATAAACATCACATTATACGCCATAAATGCATATTAATCTGATATTAGATCCGGTAATACGACCGTATACTATTGCGAACACTGGATACGGGTTGGTATTACTTGGAACTCTCCCATGCGATGGACTCCTTTAATCTTCATAGTTTGTTTGAAGAGACAATAAGCGGACATCTTCTTAGGTTTGGATATTGCCTTGAGCAATCGCGTTTATGATCTTGTTCGTGATTCCGTGTCTCTTCAGGTCGACATCCGGAAAGGTCTTGTCGAGGAGTTTGAAGTTTGTTCGGACGGCAAGGTATTCTGTTCTACCAGCGACTGCAAAGTTTGGTTAGAAGATGTCAATGAGGATAAATACGAAGACTTACTCGTCGTTGGAAACTCGGTGTTGTCAGGTGCAGCGGCCATGTTGGACTCTTGTCCGGCTGGAGAAGAGAGTCATCCTAGGCCAGGATGTCTGTGCCTAACAGCACACTTCTCGCGAGCACATACTTGCTTCATCGTAGAGCACTAGTTCAGCTTCATATTGTCTGTAATCCTCCTCAGCTATTCTACTTAACAGAATGTCCATCCTCAGAATTGTCTAATAGTAGCATTTACATGTTCGATCAGCCCTACTCCCTCAAATTGTCTGTCCTTCTTAGCGCCTCTAGGTCACATATCTGACAGTGGATGCTGTGGAGAATGAGTGCCGAGCAACGATGGAGAGGAGGGTAGATCAGCGTCGATTTGGAAATGGCACCACGGTCCTTGTTTGGCGATTTTCGGCACGTCTAAGCGAACGACCCAGTCATCTAAATCGACAGTCCCAGTGTCTTGGTTGTTCGAACAGGCGGGCAGTTGAGCACGAAGCTAGAAAAATGCGTTAATGAACTGTAACATTGGCTGAAGGGAGCTACCATACCCATTTCGAATATTGAAGGGACGCGGCTGCGTCCTTCCGAAGACTTGTGTTCACCTTCAGGAGACCCTGGAACGTAGCCTGGAGCCACTGACATATCCGTACTCGCATCTCCTTTTTCATATTATTGCGGAGTATGATCTCCTCAGGGGTTGCTTTTGAATCCATGCCGTAGACCCATTGTAGATCTAGGCCGGGCGAGACCTTGTATAAAAAAGCTGGCATGAGAATGACATACTTCCTCATCATGGCATTGATGAAAGCTAGTCGTTCAGTAGGCGTGGAGAAGGGCCATCTGGGACTGCCGTCCTCATTCGTAGTAATGAAGTCTGGCGTGGACAGCAACCAGCTCTATAAGTCAGCATGCTAAGGGATGGCAATGAAGTGGAGACTTACATAACCATAGAAGCTGCGAACTTCTTGACAATGCCGCCCAGCATTTCGGTCTTCGCTTTGAGAACGAAGTCGACATTCTGGAGGAATGTTCTGGCAGTGGCGGTCTGCTGCATCGAGACTGGCAGAAGGCCGGCAACGTCGTCCTCTGTGACCGAGCCTCGATGCAGATTCATTAGAAGTACCACCTTCTTGAGCCACGTCTGGCCCCCATCTCGAAGGCCAGAACGCGCCTTTGTGTCATTCTCTCCAGCTGGATCATCGACATTGATCTGGTTTGCCTTCAGAAGCTCCGCGTACCTGGTACGCTTCTTTCTCCTAGTGTCTCTTCTCCATTGAAAAGCGCATACTGCTGCTGCTTACATCCTCGTCTACGATCTTCATCGTAGACGATTTCTGAAGGCGAACCTCACAAGGTACAAAAGACAACTTATCACCTTTATATTTCGTTGCAGCTCACTCTTGCGCAGTCGTTCTCTCAGAATGGCGGACATCGAAGAAACACGAATAGACCAGACATAGGACTCCGCAAAATAATGCTGCTTGGCACAGACATCCGGTCTCCAGAAAAAGCTCTCGGAACCATGAACACTTAGGAAACGCAAGGAAAATGAAGAAGAAGATTCCCATGAAAGATTATGATCTCTCCTATCCTGTCTCCAATCGCCCAGCTAGCGTGATAATGCTAAACGTAAGCAGGTAGAATACATATCTCGTACAATCGTCCCATGGAGCTCTGACCCGTTCATCTAGCTAATCATCCAAAACGCCACTGGCTCTTGATGGGCTGTAGCTTATTTAGCCCTCTTACTGCGCCTCTGTCCGAATCTGCTCTCAGGGAGTATCAATGATGATGCCCAATTTGTGTCAACAACGGGATCAACATCCCTCCAACAGCCGCAAGTGTATCCTTCATTTGAGGCTTCGGCTTTGTTCTTGGAGCACCGCCACCATCTGTGTAGCCATTTGAGTTATTGTGTGAGTGCTCGTGACTTCCATCTTCTTGCATTGCATGCATAGCTACATATCTACTCCAAGTCAGTAAGGAGTACGATGAATTCATGGAAAACTCACAAAAATGTGCCAGCTGAGAACAGCAATAACATTCCCGTCCACCACTGCCCACTCTCTCCCTCCATATGATCTCCACCCAGGATGTTAACGATAAGCCATGTCGTAAGAGCACCAAACGGCGCTGCAAGACTGAAGATAATTAAATGTCCTCTCGCTGCTCTTTTTGACAGTCCTTGTTTCAATAGAACAGACGTCAATCCAAATGCTGCTGGAGCTTTATGAACCATGATTGCGATGAAGATTATGAACCCTAACTTGGTGTTGGAGCTTGATGCAGAAGCTCCCATTGCAATTCCGTCTGCTGCAGCGTGGATCACAAGTCCAGTAGTAGTTGCTAGAGAGCGGGTTTGCTTTGGTGTAGGAGCTAGGGATTGGAGGAATGATTCCGATTCTTCGTCTCCGGTCGAAATGGTAGAAGAGGAGTGGAGGCCTTGAGAGAGGTTGTCCAAAGAGATATGTCGGGTTGGAGGAGGTGGTGCAATGTGTTCTGAAGCGTGACGGGGCAACTTGTCAATTAGGAACATGAGGATGAACCCAGTTATTAGGGAAAATCCAATGTAGAATGTTGGTGGGTCTTTATGCTGCTCTTCATCATTGTGAGGGGTATCTCCTGGCTTTGGAGCTTCTGTCTCCTTGGCTTCTCCAGCTGTCGTGGTGGGTATTTCTGCTTTGATCTCGAGTCCATCTGGAATGACAGGTCCAACACTATTGAAAGAGTCTATATCTGCGAGTTTGCGAGATTCGACATCTCTCGATACCATGAGAGTATGGACTCCGCTGCGGACCCATTTCAACTCCGACCCTCTCGATTGTAGGCTTCTTCTCGTATGCAAATGCCCTGCTTCTCCAGAGCTGTATACGGCTTCAATGCCTTCGGGAATAATAACGATCAAGGATGTCCCAACCAATACGCCCATTCCAATGGTAGATATCAATCGTAGTTGTGATGAGGAAAGGGTCATAGACAATGGGAGTGCACCGGCGAGAAATGAGCTACTTGCTGTCAGAATACGCCAGAAATCATTGTCTCTTCACTTACGCCAGAGCCATCACCACGCTCAACCCGAGCAGCATAAAAAGTCCGTCCAACATCGTGACCCCTTGATCCTCAGTCGAGTACCCACGACAGATTGTGTTGCGCTGTTACCGATACATATCGGACTCGGTCCTGAAGAATGAAAAGTCCAATTCGAAGTCGCTTGAGTCCGCTGGGCGGAATTGTCTTGCTGCCCCTTAATGATATTGTTTGTTTTTCGAGGTTTCTCGATGACAGATTGGAATCTCGGTCTTTGACTTGGTCTGCAAGGCTGAGGCTAAGATCGCTTCCCGTTCCAAGCTAAAAAGCAAGACCCCTGTCCAAGTCCGTTTGCTCGGAACGCGTCAAAATCCCCAAACTACGCGCTTCCACTTGCGGAGAGAAAGGTCCTTTTGAGATTTCGCAACCACATCAGACCCGAGTCTCGAAGGCCCTGCAGAGGGATAAACTGACAAGATGGCCGACACGAATGAAGATTGTATGTATTGATTTCAGCTATCTACGGAGCTTCATCAACTATCTCGTGCGGCGCAAAGAGACTTGTCTCATCTTGTGCATTCAAAGATGAAGCTCTTATCGCACTGCCACTATCCATTTCTACGAACCTCAGACTGACGATACTCACCTTAGGGTCTTCCAACTCCAATGAAGCCGTCGAGATCTCCCTTGTCGTCCCAGGTGCCGGCGCCCCCAAGGCCCTTCACACCTTCAATCCCAAATTCACCTACCCAATCTTCGGCGATGAAGAGACAATTTTCGGTTATAAGGGATTGAAAGTGAATCTGCGATACAATGCGAGCGATATGCGACCAAGTCTGCAGATCACCTGGAACTCGAAGTTCAAGACGGTGGGAGAGACAGAGCCATTAGATGTGAAGGCTGTTTTGGAACCATATCTTCCCAAGAGTATGAACTCCCGTGTGGATGTAGGACATTACTGATGATATTGTAGCTGCTCTTGAGAAGACCTCGATATTCAACGCAGCGATTACGGATCCTATGTACAAAGACTGGAAGCCACCTGGAGAGCTCTGGAAAACGATTCAGTCTGGAGACCAAACCTTCGAAGTCTGGAAAGGAAGCCTTGCCGACTTGGCTATTCAACAAATGGTCAAGCGAATACAGATACTGGTGCCGCTGTTCATTGAGGGAGGGACATTCATTGAATTGCAGGATCCGGAATGGTCATTGGAACGATGGACGGTTTTTTTTCTATACGAGAAGAAGAAGGGCTTTTCAGAAGCTGTCTCGCCATATCTATTCATGGGATATTCGACAGTCTACCGATACTTCTACTACCAATCTACTGCTTCCTCACGACAACGACCAAAGAATCAACTCATTTCAAACGAGGCCAAGTTTGATTTCAAGCTTCCACTCAACAACATATCCTTCAACTCACTGCCTTGTCGATCTAGGATTTCTCAATTCATCATACTGCCCCCTTTCCAGCATGGTGGCAATGGTTCCCGATTTTACAACGCCATCTTCGACTTCTACTTGGGGGAACACCAGACAATGGAGATTACGGTTGAGGATCCAAATGAAGCATTTGATGACCTTAGGGATATCAATGATTTATCTCGTTTACGGACAATGCCCGAATTTCTAGCTCTGAAGGTCAACGATAGTGTGAAGATACAAAGGAAAGGACCGGTTCCTCGCGACATCCTGGACTTGGAAAAGTTGGAGGCAATTAGGAGAAAGATCAAGATTGCTCCGAGGCAATTCTATCGAGTCGTTGAGATGCAGCTTCTGTCGCTAATTCCTCAAGGTGTGAGACAATCATTATTGCCCGAGCACGAGAAAGGAAAAGGTCCAGAGCCACAGACGCACGTATATCGCCTTTGGAAGTTGTGGGTCAAGAAGCGATTGTATAAACACAACAAGGATATGATGCTTCAGATTGATAAGTCGGAGAGGACTGAGAAGTTAGACCAGGCAGTCAGTGGAGTGGAGGACGACTATGCTAGGTTGCTACGACAATCTGAATTGAGGAAGGGTCCTGGAAGGAGAGTGAGTGCTACGAGTGAGACGAACGGTGGTTCATCGAATGGCAACGGGAAGAGATCAAGTTCTGATGATGAGGTGGAGGATGAAGAGCCAGCGGCGAAGAAGGCCAAAATTTCGACATGAAAGGGCAACGGAGGATTGTATGAATTTGTATGATTTGATGAAATTTGGTTGCTTGCTCCGTTTTCATGGAAATAGTTGGGCAGAAACCTGATGACCAAGAGTTCCACACGCTCAGGGGAAGATATTGGGCAATGAGCTTCACTCATGCCTGGTTATGCATTTGAGGAGATGTTGATGGCATTCTGCTACTGCGACGGTATGGAGTTTTACCTCCCGCTCGACATGAGCACAATCAATAAATAACAAATATTACATGATGACCTGCATGCTCTCACAATGCTTGATCTTTGATTCACCCTCATCAGTTTGTCAGAAAGAAACCCACCGAGCTCATCGCTGTTGAGTATCGGGATGGTCACGTGGAACATCCGCTAGTCCCAATCGCGCTAATTCCCCAACGGCCAACATTATTTTGAGAGAGCGAAAGGCTCCGAAAGATCCACTACAGCTTCAATTCTCTTCTTTCCTTCTCTCCTCATCTTCTTCAACACCACAACAATGTTCTCACGAGCATTGAGGACCAGCCGTGCGGCTCCATTACGGAGTTCAGCATTCTTAAGATCTGCTCTCGTCAAGAGAACGGTTACTACAGATGCTGCGAGCGCGCATGCTGACAAAGTTCCAGAGGTGAGATAGCTTTTCTTTGAAGGCATTGGGATATCTGCAGATGGGATTGAAGCTTTGTGGCGATCGAGGATTGATTACTGACTGTTCTATAGGAAGATGATGCGGCATTCCAGGTCCACCTCTCCGATGAGAGCTTCGAGACCTACGAACTGGATCCTCCTCCATACACCCTCGATACCACAAAGAAGGAATTGAAGCAGATGTATTACGATATGGTATCTGTCCGGTAAGTAAATCAACGTCGAATTGAAGTGGCAGATTCACTGAGACATTATAGCCGCATGGAAATGGCAGCAGATAGGCTCTACAAGGAAAAGAAGATTCGAGGTTTCTGCCATCTTTCAACTGGTCAAGAGGCTGTCGCTGTCGGGATCGAACACTCCCTCACCAAGGAAGACGATGTCATTACCGCATACCGATGCCACGGTTTTGCTCTGATGCGCGGCGCTACCGTCAAGAGCATTATCGGTGAATTGTTAGGTCGCCGAGAGGGCATTGCTTATGGAAAGGGTGGATCCATGCATATGTTCGCCAAGGGATTCTACGGTGGAAACGGTATCGTCGGTGCTCAGGTTCCAGTCGGTGCTGGTTTGGCTTTCGCTCACCAGTATCTTGGAAAGAAGAATGCCAGTGTAGTTCTCTATGGTGATGGAGCTAGCAATCAAGGACAGGTCTTTGAGGCTTTCAACATGGCTAAACTCTGGAACTTACCTGTTATGTTTGGTTGTGAAAGTATGTTCCTTGCTCCGAGGTCGTGTTCAAGCTAATTTGCTACAGACAACAAATATGGTATGGGTACTGCAGCAAACCGATCCTCCGCTCTCACCGATTACTACAAGCGTGGACAATACATTCCAGGTCTTAAGGTCAATGGTATGGATGTTCTCGCTGTCAAAGCAGCTGTCAAGTACGCTCGCGACTATACCACCAGCGGCAATGGTCCTCTCGTCCTTGAATACGTGACTTACAGATATGGTGGTCACTCAATGTCCGACCCCGGAACCACGTACCGTACCCGTGAAGAGATTCAACGCATGCGATCCACTCAAGATCCTATCGCCGGTCTCAAGCAGAAGCTTTTGGAATGGAATGTCACCACCGAGGATGAGCTCAAGCAAATCGACAAGGATGCCAGATCTGATGTCGACAAGGAGGTTGCTGAAGCGGAGAAGATGGCCGCCCCGGAACCAACACCAAAGATTCTCTTCGAGGATATCTATGTCAGAGGGAGCGAGCCACAATTCATGAGAGGACGAACACCGGATGAGAACTACTACTATTGAGGGAGGAAGATGTGTATGACTGAAGCTGTACTATAGTTTGCAGATTTGGTGGAGATGAGGGCAAGCAAGTTTGCTGCAATGACTTTGGAATGCATTCGAGCTTATACCCTGATCATTTACTCTTGTTTTGCATGTGCTCCCAGATTGTAAATCATTGATTCATTGTGTTTGCATATATGTCGTTGCGATTTTTGCCCTTTCAGACCTGAAGATTTTTGGACATTCCCATCCTCAAAGACCATTCCTCACAAGAACCTTTCTTTAATTGCTGTCAATGCACCTGTCAAGGTACGCACTTTTACTGCCTCAAAAGTCCCACGCTTCAGGGATAATAACTCCTTGAATACTAATGACCGATTTTGGTAGGCTAGTTGCAATCGGGGGACCGCTACGACCCTCTCACCATGACATACTAAGCTCATCGCGCCAAACACAACCTACCGTGACTACTACCCCAGAAATCATTAAGTCCTCCTCACTATCTATTTGGCGACTGCGCTCCTTGGTATGATAGTCTCCGGGTTATCAACCACCTCGAACCTATCATCCTCTATGCTAACAAAATGAGTTAGCTTGGAAATCTTGAATGGACTTCGCAGACGTACTTTGCCTCCCTCTTCACGACTGGCGGTGGTGCCGCTTCTCGCTTGAAAACCTCTGGCTCCTCCTTAGGTAAGAACTCGTCCAATTCATCATCTGCTACTCCTCCCTGAGGTCCATGGTTCCCAATACGCTCTGCGACAACGGGATTTGCAATGTCTTCGAATGCGTTTCTAGGGAAGGCGGTCAGAGCACGGGTCTTCGGCTGATTAATGAAGATAGAAACTGATTGTCCGTCAACTACAACGTGCTTTGAAGAAGCTTGTACAATCTTCAGCCCCTTGAGAGAGTTCTTGAAAAACATCACAGACATTTTGAAGCTGAAGAAGTTGTCTGAGATTAGATTGAATCAACATCTAGTGGAAGATAAGTACTCTTCTCGGGTTGGATATTCTTCTCGATAAAGCGAGGAACATTCTGAGGTAGTTAAGTGCTTTGTTGAGGTTAAATAAAGGCTGTGAAGGCGACAAGTGCCCAAGGAGCGAATGATTTACTATGAAGTCTGCTAGAAACGAGCAAGTGTCCAAGCTCGGTATCTCTGAATCTTTTTCTGAGGTATTCGGCTCCACTTACAACTTCCTTATTTCTGATCAGATATTCACTATGTGCTGGTAGATATTTTCCTTGTTGTCGGATGTTCTTATTGTTTCAATTCTCTTGACTTTCAGAATGTCTGTCACTGGCACGTTTACTATCCTCTTCAGGTTGTCTGCTAGCTATGGAGAGAGAGATATTCATGTCAGACATCCTATTGGGATTAAGATGCTTGTCCCGATTCTGATCCATCGTCCGTATGAGTCGACTGGCGATTGAAGACTTTGATACCTTTTCAATTCCAGAACATCTAGTCAGCTGAAAACCATACATCCATCTTTCAACTTTACTCACCTCCTTTCTATCTCTCCACAAACTCTCCTCCCTCTTTAAACCCCATCTTTGCCAATCCCCACAAACTCAAACCCTCATCACAAAATCACCCCCCTTCCTCGGCTCCTCATCCCCATCAAACATCCTCGGCATAAAATGTTTCTTCACCCAGACACACACGAGCTCAGCTCGGCTCCAAAGCCCTCGTTCCTCGTAACGCATGAATGAGTCGGGCTACGAATAACTCAGGTATAGGGTGAGGACTTCCCCGCATTTTGATGGATTGGAGCGGTGTGAGATAAGGTTTGGGGCTTTGAGGGGGAGTGATGTGAGGTTGAGGCTGTGGAGGGGTTTGGAGTTGTGGAATTTATGGGTGGAGAGGTGGGAGGAGGAGGGGTGGTAGTTCACTATTTGAGTAAGTTTTTTTTTTTTGGAAGAATATAGTAATTATGAAGCATTCCAGCGTGGTATTTGTTACGCCCGTACAGCGTAACGTGCCTTGCCTGGGCGCTATACCCGATTAAGTATAGCGCTAGGGAAGATTAGCGTTTCCGGGCTCTTACTGCACGTGACAGAGCCATAAGCGAAGACGCTAAGTTGGAGTAGGAGAAGGACTTGTATTTAAACTCGACCGCGCTCTTCGAGCTGCGCTCTCTTTCTTTCCTTCTTTAACTTAGAATTCCAGTCTTATGACATCCCCTCAAGGCCATCTTATCCGTGCCATTTGAGAGTCGTGACACGATGCAAGTGATACCACTAACACGTTGATGATTGGT